GTTTATCCCTACTCCAACACACCTGATTCAGCTCAAAAAGGACTTGATTAGCCAATGATATGACTCAAGTGCAGGAAGCCCAAGACAGCACAACTGAGGAGGATGGTTTAGATCCTCTCTCATGTCCACTGATAACAGTGCTGACCCAACATAGCTATATGCTGGCACAAATACAAAATAGAGCGGTACATACTCTTCTAAAAGCATGTCTAGTTGCCCTATAAACCTTAAAAAAAGAGGTGATTGGGGTATTGGCAGAAGCAGATTCTTCCCTTTACACTCACTCCCAGATTTCTCTGTCCTGTACAAAAGTGCAGATTCAGATAATAGGTGGGAATTGCCAGTGACTAATATTAGGGAGATCACTGAGCAAGAAAAAGGAATAATGGTAAACGTACAAACATGTTTAAAAGTCAACTAGAAAGAAGACTTCAATTCTGAAATAGATTTAATGTATGAGACACATCCAAGTATTTTATATTCTTTAAGGTCTCTAGAACCACAGAGCCCCAGCAATGGAAGATTTTAGGAAGGACAGATTTTGACTCAAATGCAAGATTTATATGCCCTCTACAGAGTCAAATAACTGTGTGGACATCAAAAAACTGAAGTGGTAAATCAGGAATGTGCACATGTGGTGAAGAGATCGTACAGACAGGTCATTCCCATACACAGGAATGTGAAAAACTGGTTAATTATCAAGTACATCTCATTCGAAAATTGGTTAACCTGAAATGCTGGATGCCTTTTTCTGATTCCACCACATGCAACTGATATCTCAGAAGGTATGCACCCAAATCTTATTCCATTATTTCCATTTTAAAGAAATACAGGAATCTAGTGGTTCAACTTAAGTTCTGCTGTATTAAATTTTCCTTAATAAAGTAAATCTAGGCTATCACAGGCTGCCAAGAAAGGAGGTGAACATAAAAATGAATAAATGAATGAATAAAAGTTTTCCTTCTTTCATGGTAGAACTAACCAGAGTGGCTTTGTTTGATTCCACAATACCATTATTCTGGATCCAGATGTTAGCACTGGAACTCAACATCTGGGACCTGTTTAAGTTAACTTTCTTCAAAAACATATTTCCACTGGCATGTTCTAATTTAATGACAGTTTTACAGAATACAATAAATTTACATGTACAATGAAATTAGGTAAGCACAAAGCTGCAGGGTCCAAGCACAGAGCCATCTGGGGAACCTTGATATCAGACTATGATATGCTAATATGAATTGTTTAGCATATCACAGTCTGATATCATATAAGCATACCATGCTGATATGAAATTAGCATATCATAGACCAAAACAAAATACTTCAAACACAATTTTGTCCATATTTGAATTTGACTTCAGCGAAAAGAAGGAAATATTAATAAAAGTGAAAGTGATTTTGAAAATTCTTTAGATAAGTCAAGAAGTAATAAAGCACAGTCATGTAAAGTGAACCAAAACACTATCCAACCAGACAAAACCTGAGTCACTGTTATGGAGTTATTCCGCTCTGAAGGGAAAGGGGGAAAAGGCTAAATGAAAATGACAGGCTTTGTCAATCATGCATTTGCATCTAGTAAGATATCAGCCTGTATCCTCTTAGTCAGTGAATGGAAGGTCAGTAAGAGTAGCTTTCATATCACTCTGATCATCACGTGGCAGCAGAATAAACATGAATACCTAATCCAGGAAACCCCTTTAGTTCACAGACAGTTTATGAACTGTTATGAACTATGATGTATTCACCAAAGCTGTTACAATGTAAAATTCTGTGAGCAAAACAATCACAATATGGAAAGAATCATTGAAAAGGCTTTCCTCAGAGGAAGTCAAAACAATATTGGCTCATCACACAAACACACAATGTGTGCGTTCATCGGCTTTAACCCTGTTTGGTGAAGGTGAAGGCACTGAGGTACATTCCCAAAACTCGAACACCATGTACCTTGTTCCAACATTATCAATGTTCTGGTTTCCAGAGGTTCAGGTCACAGCTGGAGTTTTTCTTTACATTATCTTTATCAGAATGATGTTGTAAAGAATAGCATCAACAGTGATCTGAACCTCTGGCAACCAGAACCCTGATTTGGCCCCTACTATTCTCTGATGACAACGTCAGGGTAAGTTATACGTAGTCTTTTAAAACTGAGATTCACTCTAAGCCAAGCAATAAATTCAAATTTCACTCGCATAATGACCAGAGATTGTCAATGGATTTATCCTGTTGTTTTCCTGCAGTTACATATCAACAGTCACTGGACCACACAGATTTAGCCAGCTTCATCTATACTTAGTAGTGACTCAGGTTCTGAGGGAAGCCTCCTGCTCTTGCTTGACCACATGGCCTCTCCAAATAGAAAGCAGGCTGAATAAATAAAGGAGTTTTTCCTCAGGATACTATCCACAATGTCCATCTGACTTCTCACAAGGCAGAACTGAATCACAGGGAGATATTTTCAAGTACTATCATACGAAACCCACATCAAATGTAATGACAGCAGCAATTCAACGGTATTTACCGTTAACCTGTTAATAAGCCATATGGACACAGATATGAGGAGACCGGGCAGCAGAGCTTACATTTGCTCAACAGTAAGCTAACCGCTGTGTGAGTACCTTTAACAGTCGAAGTCGAAATAGGGCCACTTTTCCCGGCGCAGCTTCGCAGTTACACTAAAATGCATTTTTACTGAAGGATAATCACTTGGTGTTATTTACAGGCCTAATATTAGCCCTGGACTATTTTAAACCTCGTTTAAGAAAGCGTTAAGTGGCCCAGACTTAAAGAGCCATTTAGGGCTTTTTTGCGTGCGAGGTGCATCAGAGGAATTCACTGAGCAGAGTTAAAAGCTAGCTAGTTAACTTAAGCACGGCACCGCGGCAAAATCAGGCAACCAGTTGCTAACGTTACCCATAGTAGCCACCAGCTAATGGAAATGTTGTTTGACCGTAACGTTACAACACAGCTCACCGCAGCACTGCAGCGAGCATGTCTGGAGTTCCCACAAGTTGCTGCTCCACTTTTGTTCGTAGCGAGTGTGCTCAGGACGTTTTACTGGGCAACACGGCAGTTAGGTGAAGCAGTAGGAGGCTAAAAGAGAGAGAAACGGCTCAGACAGGCATCCGAGGCCAGCCGAGCCCAGCAGACACCGTGGAGAAGTTTGACGAAGTGAGCTAAAAGTTGCTTTGGCGTGAGACTTACCACTCCCTAGCCCCAGTAACCGGCATATATCCCTGGTGAACCTCATCAGTGCAACCATCCAGCATTATTCATTTGAAACTTGCTAGGTAAGAAATATATACATAGTCCACGGTGAAGAAAATTTAAAGCGTGGTATTCATCGTCATGTTTAAACTTTTCAGAAAGGTAGTTGGTGCTTCGCTTCCTGAGACTCGACCGTCGGCACACTTGGCTCGGCCACAAGCTCCTCCCTCTTCTTGGTCTTAAAGGAGCCATCCAGTGCAGGAAAGTGATTACAAGGCACATATCACGGAAAAACCCAATTTTCCTGTTTTCAAAGAAATTAAGTTTTATACAGTATGTAAACACTGTTTAAGTCTTAAACATACCAGTAAATATATGGAAACTGCAGAAAAGTCCCATTTTGATTTCATTGTTTTTAAGATGTCAGAAAGACACCATATTTACATATTACCTGTTCAGTCCACAGCACTTCAGCACACCCTTTCACGCTTAAGTTGAAACGAGTGTTTTAGTCTGGACTGTCGATTTTACACACTTTCAGTCCTGAGGTCCCTAATTGCACATGCCCGCAAGGTGGTAGGGGGGCTCATTTCTCATTTTGGCTTTGAAAGGGGTCACTCACCAACCACTGCATTGAGCCACTTTAGATAAGCAAATAGGCTCATTTAAAGCCTGTGAGATACATGAGTCTGTACCAAATGCATTCTTTTAAACCCAGCGCCTGGGAGCTGTCTCTCTCTGTCTGCACATTGTTGACCATAGTAGGGACTTAGGGTGCCTTTTGGGACAAGCCCTAACATACATACACAATACAGAGATGCCAATCAGAACATCATTCACATTTATTAGTCTTAAAGTACCAAAACCAGCCTGTTTAATTCAAAGGCATAACGTTAGGAAATGGTAATGTAAAAATGAATTATGACTGATTTTGGTATATAAAACCACACAAATGTTGTAAGGGGAATTCCACCAATTTGTCATATTTTACACATAATTACATTGTTAAGTGTGTGCAGTTATTCAGAGTGGTTTATTATGAATGCTAGAGTCGCTATTGTTCACAGTGGTGATGATAGGAAGCAGACATCTGAAAGCCTCTAAAAGCTACATAGAACGTTATCATATGAAATAGTTATGAATATGCTGCCTGATGCCTATGACTTTTTTGTGACCCCTGGTTCCCATCAGCACCACTGTAAAGAAATCTGAAGAAGTTTCCCTACAATGCACCATTTCACATCAGACCACTCTACAGGAGTTTGTTTACATCTCAACCACTTTATTTTGTAGATATTTTGAAAATTAGTGGAATTCTCTCTTAATGTCCCATACAGAGTGCACACCTGCTGACACATGATGCATCGAAAAAGTCTGGATGTACAGGAAGTACATAATAAGCACAAGCTAAAGGCAGTGATCTTTTGTAAACAGTTCAAATGCAAACAATGTCTACACAGCCAAATCATTCAAACAGCTCTCTCTGTTATTTTATTTGCTCTGAAGATATTACATGCAGTGCATCTTGGCTTGCCAGTGACATCTTAAACAGTTCATTTCATGTAGTCGTGTCATCAAAAAGCTACATGAGGAGTTTTTGCCAAACTATTTCACGACACCAGACACACTATTAAAATGCTCAGCATATGTTTGACTATACTGAGCAGGACTTGTAGAAAAACATTATGTATACGCAAACAATAAGGCTAATCCTGCAAAATACATCAAAATGTAAGAATCTTTTAAATGCACGTGAAGAGGTCTGAAATACATAAACAAACTAAGAGTGACTTCTTGTTGATGCTTAGTTTGACAACAGATTCCAGTTTTATTTTTTATGAGACATATTTGACCCCATTGTACATTTCAGAGGCAACTTTCCCAGTTTAGCATATTTCCAGCATCTGTGTAGAAGGAGCTGTGCAGTAAGACCAGCCCACTTCAGTAAGATCCCGTATTATGTCAAGGACACATTAGGGAATCAAAACAGTGGGTTGAGAAGGTTATGTTGTGAATGCATTTTTCAGGGATTTTTAAAGATTTTGTTTGGTTAGTGTTATTAATGCTATAACTGTAAACAGTGGAATTAAATGCATACGTTTATTCTTCCATAATCCTTTATAAGAAAGCATCTTAAAGTTTATCCTGAAACCATAGCACTGGGGTAAAAGAAAGAAACAAGTACAAAAAACAGCACCTAAAATATTTTGATTTGATTTCACAGTATTTCAGAGGAAATGTTTAAGGCATTAAGCAATACTGTTTTAGGAGTAGGTGTATGTGCGAAGTTATATAGCACTGCGCAAAAGTCAGAGACCACCCTTATGCTTATTTTATTCCCAGTCAAAATGTGTTATTCTTTTTAAATGTCAGGAAAGAGAAGTTAACATTTAACAGAAAATTACACAAACACTTCCGACACTGAGTATAATATCAAATATATCTAATTTGTGTAAAAAAGCATTCTGGTCTTGACAATGTGCATCCATGAATTTGGGGGGGTTGGAGCTTCTGAAGGAGCCCTGAAGTGAGGGGTGTTTTGTTTTGTTGTTGAATTCAAATATCGTTCTCCAGAATTATATAGTGCTTCTTTAAGTTGTTGAGTCTTCTGTGTAGCTGTCTGTTAAATATATGTTTCTTCTCTTTTTTCCTGACACTGAAAAATGAATAACCTTCACTTAATGGCCATTTTGACCAGATATTAAAAAATCTTTTGACCAAAAAACATTTTGGTCAGTTACAACACAGGTCAGGTCAACAGAGCTCACACAATGTCAACATCAGCAGAGACAGTCGAAAGTTCTGACAAAACAGAGTCATCATTATCACTGAGAGGCTGGTCATTGCTCTCTCAAATGTCCAGGATGGACTGAAAATATTTATCATTATTATTTATTTTAATCTAATTTGGAATCCAATGAATCATTTTGGAATCCAATGAATCATTTTAGTTAGCCAGAACTCCTTAGTTGTGTAGAACTTCACAGCTGCTGGACCCTGTATTAGACATTTATTGCCGTTTAAGGTCAGCCAGGACAGCCATGGCAGCATTCCAACCAGCGGAGCCCATAACACCCCCACCTGTGCAAGACAGATGGCATATAATGGTGAGCAGACAGGACATCATGTAAATAGGAGTCAGGGTAACTTATCAATGAAATGAGTGACATATTCTTTTAGCAATGTCATATTCATGACTTTAAGTTCTTGTTGACTTAGGTTGAATAACATAACACAGATTGACTGACAGCATCTATCAAAACTCAGTGGAAAACTGAAGCTTTTTTTGAATTGTTTACTCATTTACGGACCTGGATGGCTACCACTGCCACATATGTAGAGCCCTTTGATTGGTGAACGGTAGTTTGCAATGGAGGGCACAGGTCTAGCCAAGTAGAGCTGATCCAGTGACATTGCACCATGGAATATATTCTGTAGTTGAAAAAAGAAATGAAAAGCAGCTATATTACACAGCACAACAAGTTAGAACTAAATCGCATAATGTTGCAACATTATTCAAAAATATTGAAAGCGCTCCTAATGATGCACATGATTTCACTGCTGAAAGGGTGTGTCACGCAAAGCCGGAAGATACACATCAGCTATTTATTTGACTGACGTCACTGCAAGAACAATACTCATCATGCCTGTTTAATGATAGTAAAGAGGAAATACCCCTCCAGTGAGACCAAATTCCCTCTCCAGATCAGGAGGGGTGAGGATTTCCTTGCCAATTATTGAGTCTTTAAATCCAGGTGCGTAACAGTCAACCCTGTCAAACACTGTAAAGACAAAAGTCGAAAAAAAATGGCCAATGAAGTCAATGATGTCTTCAAAGACAGGTAAATTTAAATGTGCATCATGTAGTGATATTCTACATACACTTTACGTTTTCAGAACAGTTTCTGCCAGTAAACATAAAATACCTCTATATTTCATAACCATGATACTTTGTTTATTTAATAGGGACAATACACACTAATCAGTATCATTATGTCATAATACCAATGTGCCAGATTTAGCCAAAGAGCTGATTTTCATCTGACCTGTGTTTGCAAATTTCTCCCTGTCCTCATCTGTCCATGCACGACCCCCTTCCAGCCAGTAAGGGGTAAACTGTATAAAGAAAGAGACCACGTGACATCCAGGTGGGGCTAGAGTTGGGTCAAGCACAGATGGTATGACCATCTCAAGCATGGGTCTGAGGAAAGATATTAAATAGAGAATATTATCATCACTTAATAAAGGAGCAAGATTTGGAAATGAAATTGTGAGATAAGGTTCAGTGGACTGTTCCTAGCAGGAAAAGACAGAGTTAAACCGCTGTCCCAGCCAGACCTATTTGCATATGACATTTGTTTCTATCACGCTACTGATTCACACAGGAATCGCCTACTGAGATGTAATTTTCAGTGGGATCCCATGCATGTCTCAACGAACAAAATGAAAATATATATATGAAAATAAAAAACACAAAGTACAAACATGGTCAAACTTTAGTTACCTAGCCTTGTTTTATCACTAATTCGTTATGTAAGATTCAGTAATTAAAATGTATATACAGTACTGTCCAATTGTTTCAGGCAACAGAGGAAAATTTGATTTACAAAGCTGTTTATCTGCTCAGTAAGCATTATTTGCGCAGAAAAATACTAATATTACAACAAATATAAATAACATTAATATGATAAGTAATGCTTTTATATACACTATATGGCCAAAAGCATGTGGACACCTGACCATCACACCTATATGAACTTGCTGGACATTTCATTTCAAAAACATTGGCATTAATACAGGGTTGCCTCCCCTCCCTTTGCAGCTATGACTGGGAAGGTTTTCCATATGATTTTGTAGTGTATTTGTGGGAATTTGTGCTTATTCGGTCAAAGTAACATTTGCGAAGTCAGGCACTGATGTTGAACAAGAAGGCCTGGCTCGCAATCAACATTCCAACTCTTAATAAAGGTGTTCCCTGCCTTACAGTGAAGCATGGTTTGTCATTCCAGAGAACATGTTTTCACTGCTCCAGAGTCCAGTGTCAGCATGCTTTACACCACTCCATCCAAAGCTTGGCATTGTATATAGTGTTCTTTGGCTTGCAGCTCGCCAAGGAAACACATTTCATGAAGGTCCCTACACACAGTTCTTGTGCTGGTCTTGCTTCATGAGGTAGTTTGGAACTGTGTCTGTGTAGACATTGATGCAACAGAGAATAGGTGATTTTTATGTGCTAAATGCTTTAGTACTCAACGGCCCCACTTTGAGTTTGCGTGGTCTAACGCTTAACGACTGAGCTGTTGTTACTCCTAGACACTTCCATTTCACAGTCATAACTCATACAGCAGTAACACTGATGTGGTGGTGGTGTGTTAGTGTGTGTTGCGCTGGTCTGAGTGGATCAGACACAGCAGTGCTGCTGGAGTTTTTAAACACCTCAGTGTCACTGCTGGACTGAGAATAGTCCACCAACCAAAAATATCCAGCCAACAGCGTCCTGTGACCACTGATGAAGGACTAGAGGATGACCAACACAAACTGTGCAGCAGCAGAGGAGCTATTGTCTCTGACTTTACATCTACAAGGTGGACTGACAAGGTAGGAGTGTCTAATAGAGTGGACAGTGAGTGGACACTGTTTAAAAACTCCAGCAGCACTGCTGTGTCTGATCCACTCATACCAGCACAACACACACTCACACACCACCACCATGTCAGTGTTACTGCAGTGCTGAGAATGATCCACCATCCAAATAGTACCTACTCTGTGACGGTCCATGGGGGTCCTGACCACTGAAGAACAGGGTAAAAGGGGGCTAACAAAGTATGCAGGGAAACAGATGGACTACAGTCTGTAATTGTAGAACTACAAAGTGCACCTATATAGTAAGTGGAGCTGATAAAATGGACAATGAGTATAGAAACAAGGAGGTGGTCATAATGTTATGCCTGATCAGTGTACCCCTGTTAACAATGGGCATAGCTGATACACCCAAACTCAACAAATAGGACAGGTGTCCACAAACATTTGGCCATATCATGTAAATGAACATGTAAATTAGGTTCTGTTTCTTACTGTAAGAGAGACCAGCAGGGTCAAATATGTATTGTCATCATACTAATTGCCAACTATTTTCTACCATTTCATTGAGTAGGTAGACTTAAAAAAATGAGTTTAGTGATCATGTTTAATCAATAAATTGAGACATTCCTATGATGAAAGATTCTACAGAGAATACACAAAATATTCTACAATTTTCACTGTTCCTGACAAATACATGAGATTGTGAGAGAACTTGAGATTGTAAGATATAAGCATATAATATCTGAAAGCTAGTTTGGCCCTAGTGTCTGGTAGCATGTCTTAGTTATTAAAAAAGTTATAGTTGCATATCTTAAATGTGTAGTTAATCATGTGTAATAGTTGTATTTACAAAATATAAGATCTATGTTTATTTATTGCTTTGCAGTTTTTTTATTTAGCTTGTACCAAAAATTAACTGAATTCTATTTCAATTAATTTAATCTCATTTTGCCACTGTACTCTGGCTTGCCAACCTTGAAGATGGACGTCCTTGCTGACCCTCTCTATAAGCTGCTTCCAATACCTCCACACTCTCACAGTTCAGGTGAATAGAACATTGATGATGAGGACCTGGCTTCCCATCAGCAGTGTTAGGTGCAGCCAAGAAATTTGGCAGTTTGTCAACAGCCACTATAAATTTACAAAAAAAAAAAAAATAGCCATCATTTACTAGTTTGCTAGAAAAAATGTAATATCAGCATGTAAATGTGAATACTTGAATTCTGAGTGCCATAAGACAGAACTAGAACGATCAAACCATTAATCTTGGTGACAGGGGAGGTGTAGTCGATCTGATTTACAGCAGTAATAAACTCCTGAGGAAGAGCATCCTACAACCAGACAGAAACTAGTCTTAAAATCAAATTCCAGTCATGTCTTATTTTTATTTTTAAAATTTTATACTACCTGTGGGGTAAGTTGCCTGAAAGTTACATGAGGAGTAGCGTTGGATAAAACCAACTTGCTGTGAACTTCAGTACCATCTTTCATTACAACACCCTTGGCACTGCCATCTGGGCCAATCAGAACTTGCCCAACTTCCTAAAAAGAAATCAAACAGAATAGCTCAGGTATCAAATCAACCCTCAGCCAAGCTTCAAAACCTGAAATACTAACCTGCTCAGTGAAGATTTCTGCTCCAAGAGAGCGTGCAGAGCTAGCAATGGACTTGGAGACACCACCCATGCCTCCTTCCACATAGCCCCAGGCTCCTTTTTCCATTTCCAACTCACCCATCACGTGATGGAGGAGGACGTACCTAAGGCAGAACATAAGGTTCTTTCACAAGCAATCAAACTTCAAAACACATCCTGACCAGAGACAGTAAAACGAACAGTTTGTTGAAAAATGTACAAAATTTTCAACATTTTTTCCCCTTACCAAAATGTAATCAATCAGCCATATTTGCTCATGTTGTCCGCTTCACTGTTTATCCATTTATGAACATTGACAAAAGTGTACTGTATAACTAAATACCATAGCAGCCACCATGTTGAAACTTTAAATTTATTTATACTTTTATCCATTTTAATCAATGTCATACATTAGAAACCACATAGGCACAACTAATTGTAATGACTCAATAACACAATTTGAGACAAGTGTGTAATGATTTAGACATGCAGTGTGTAGAGTGTTAACTGGTGGGGTATATGTTTCCATTACTTCTTAGCTACACCAATAAGCTAAAACATTATGTGCTGTTGGTCCTCTGCATGCCACCAAAACAGCTCCGACCCACCGAAGCATGGACTCTACAGACTACATGACCTCTGAAGTTGCCCTTTGGTATCTCAACAAGACATGAGCAGCAGATCTCTTAAGTCCTGTAAGTGGCAGGGTGGAGTCATCATGGATTAGACTTGGTGTTTTATTACATCCCACAGATGCTCAATCGGCTTGAGATGTGGGAAATTTGGAGGCCAGGTCAAGACCATGAACTCTTCGTCATGTTCCTAAAACCATTCCTGAACAAAGTGTGGAGTCAGGATGTCAGGATGCATTATCCTGCTGAAAGAGGGGAATACACTGGGAAATACATCGCCTTGAAGGGGTGTACCTGGTCCGCAATAATGCTCAAGTAGGTGGCACATGTCAAGCTGACATCCACATGAATGCCAGAACCCAGAGTTTCCCAGCAGAACATTGCCCAGGGCATCACATTCCCTCCACCAGCTTGTCTTCTTCCCACAGTGGATCCTAGTGCCATCACTTCCTCAGGTAAACAGTGTACATATACCTAGCTGTCCACGTGATGTAAAAGAAAACAGGCAAACTTCAGGCAACTCCCAGGTCCAGTTCTGATGCTTGCGTGCCTATTGTAGGCATTTTCTACAGTGGAAAGGGGTTAGCATGGACACTCTGACAGGACTGGCCTACACAGCCCCGTATGCAGCAGGGTGCAATGCACCACTTTGTGTTGTGACACATTCCTCTCATAACTATCATTAAAAATGTTTGTAACTTGTGCCACGGCAGCTTTTCGGACCAGACAGAATGTTGTTCGTTGCCCTTGCGCACTGATGAGCCTTGGGCGCTCAAAACCTTGTCACCGGTAGGTACCACTGCCAGTAGGTACTCATCACTGCTGAGGGAGCACCACACAAGCCTTGCCATTTTGGAGATGCTCTGACCCAGAGCAAGTTTTCACACCTGCCTATTACCCCTGCATCTAACACATGAAACATCAACTATGAGAACCGACCGTTTGCTTACCATCTAATGTATCCCAGGCTTTCACAAGTGCCGTTATTACAAGATAATCAACATTATTCACTTCATCTGGTCGTAATATTTTGGCACATCAATGTATATTAGCTCTGTAGCTCCAGTGCAAAACTGAAGAAGGAAACTTTGGAAATCAAACACGTATTGGCTGATCAACTATACTTGGGGTAGGGGAAAAAATAATTGAAATTAGATTTGATAATGAATAATAATAATAAGTAACATTTATAAAGCACCTTTCACAATCCCAAGGTCACTTCACATAACAAGGGGAATAAAATTAAGACTAAGCAGTGAAGGAGGAAGAAAAATGCTCATGAAAGAGAAAAGTCTTCAAGTCAGATTTGAAGGTAGAGAAAGAATAGCAGTCACAGAGTGGGTAGGAAGAGAGTTCCAGAGTTTGGGGTCCATGGCACTGAAGGACCTCCCTCCCAAAGCAGAAAGTCTGTTGTGTGGGACAGCAAGTAAGTTATTACAAGAAGACATGAGAAAGCGAGAGGGGGTGTAAAAGATAAGGAGTTCTCTGAGGTGGGGGGAGCAAGGTTATGCAGGGCTTTGAAAGTGAGTAGTAAAATTTTAAACTTTATACGGGACAGGACCGGTAGCCAGTGTAGCTGAGAGAGAATTGGAGTGATGTGAGCTGAACGCTTAGTATGGGTGAGAACTCTCGCTGCAGAGTTCTGAATGTACTGTAGCTTTTGTGTACACTTTACAGGGAGACCAACAAAGAGGGAGTTACAGATTTGATGAACAGTCCTTTAATACTCTTACCCACTGCCTGGACTGCTGGGACTTATATTAGCTCCTATCAAAGCGTCGGTGGCTAACGTTGCACGCAGTGGCTCAGACTCGAACCAGCGGTTTAATACCTGTAGATGATCAAAGAAAAGATGCAATCAAGTATAATAAGAATTTTCTTTTTAACGAATAAATCACATATTCAGCCTACCTTCGTAATTGGAGCTGTTATAAGCTCATAGAAGTCTGGTATGTTCGTTCCCAATTTCAACCCTAAAAATTAAACAGATTGATTCAAGACTGAAAATTTATTAAAATTATTCAGCTAGAACATTTTGATGGTGGTATTTCAGAGCATAAATTGTAACATGGATTACATGAATGGTTATAAGTATGGTTTATATGTATGTAAGTAAAGTTTATAAATGCCTAATATAATTTGACTCATTCAAAGATCAGAGACTGGTACCAGATTTCACCAATGGTTTCAAACTCTTCATTGCTGCTAGTCTCTTTCTCAGAGGTCCCTGGGTTATTCCTAAGACGTCAACAGGGGGCGCATCTAGAAGTGGGTGGATTGCACAGGCCAGTTTCTCCAAATGGGCCACATAATCAGGAAAAACCTTTTGGCAAAAGACATGTTTATTATTCATGTCTAGAGTGCCTTCACTTGCACTCAGTCATTATTACCGATACAATGATTGGTGTGGAATTATAGCACAAGGTCTACACACAGCACGTGTTATAAATTAAAGGTCATTTGATATAACCTTCGCATCTTTCTCTGAGAATTTTCCAATCTCTTTCTGATTCTTTGCCAGATCTGTTCCTAGCAAAAGAGAGCGAGGAGGCCGCCCCCCGACCCCCTCCTCCAGCAAGGGGGTGAAGGCATTGGGATCCCTCATGTATACCTTCAGGCCATGTTTCTGCAGAGATAGAGGTAGAGAAAAGATCTGTCATCATCACTCTCATCAACCTTCCTTCTGCATAACTGACCTGATGTCTGTATTAACTTATTATGCTTGTAAAATATGCTTCATGCTGCCTCCTTAAACACAGCACTGTAAAGTATTTTCCCCCTTAAATGCTCTTTATTTGCAAAATCACTGGAATTGCAAATTGTCTACATACCAAATTTTACTTTCAATTGCCAAAACTACTTCACTCCTTGATTAAATATGACACACCAATCATAACATCAAAGCCACTTCCTTGTTTTTACACTCATTGTCACGCTCCTCCTACCGTATAGCTGCACTTTGTAGTTCTGCAGTTACAGACTGTAACTTTGCTGTTGCTTTGCATATCTTGTTAGCCCCCTTTTATTTGTTCTTCAGTGGTGAGGACCCCCACAGGACCTCTAAGAGCAGGTATTATTTAGGTGGTGGATCAATCTCAGCACTGCAGTGAAACTGATGTGGTGGCGTGTAAGTGTGTGTTGCACTGGTGCGAGTGGATCAGAAACAGCAGTGCTGTTGTTTGTATACACTTCACTGTCACTGCTGGACTGAGAATAGTCCACCAACCAAAAACATTCAGCCAACAGCGTCCTGTGGGCAGTGTCCTGTGTCCACTGATGAAGGACTAGAGGATGACCAACACAAACTGTGCAGCAGCAGATGAGCTATCGTCTCTGACTTTACATCTACAAGGTGGACTGACAAGGTAGGAGTGTCTAATAGAGTGGACAGTGAGTGGACACTCCAGCAGCACTGCTGTGTCTGATCCACTCATACCAGCACAACACACACTAACACGCCACCACCACATCAGTGTCACTGCAGTGCTGAGAATGATCCACCAACTAAATGCACTTATAAGGGAAGTGGAGCTGATAAAATAGACAATTAGAGTAGAAACAAGGAGGTGGTTTTCATATTCTGGCTGATCAGTGTATAGGTTTGAGCAAGACCTGGCTATATAGTTGGTCATTTCATAGAGCTATTGCTTTCAGAAGCTTGCTGAATTTAACATGTTGGATGAAAAAAATAAAATCTAAACTGTGGGCTGTGCAAACGTTATGGTACATTTTGTAGTTTGTCTTTTTTTTTCCAATATGTTGAACTCAGCAAGTAAATTGAAACTGTGTCCTAACATATGCAGAAAAATGCCATATTTAAGTTTGTTTGCTAAAGAGCAGGGGCACCCAATCCTGGTCCTGCAGGATCTACCACCCTGGAGAGTTCAGATCCAACACACCTGACTCTAATCTTTAGATGCCCCTCAAGGCTTTTATTATCTGGGTCATGTGTATTAGATTAGGGGTGGAGCTAAACTCTGCAGAGTGGTAGACCTCCAGGTCCTGCATTGAGCACCAGCGCTGCAGAGGATGTTATCAATTTTTTTTTTTTTTACTTAACAAAGTCATTTTACATAGGGTATCCTGCATATAGTTTGTATGTATATTTACAATTATCACTTCGGCACCAGCCACTTTATTCATTCACCATGAACACAAATTCTGCATTTTCAGGACTATGTGGTTCATTCCCTAAACAGAACAACTTGTTGCTGTTGTTTCAATTACACACTGCAGCTACGCAGAAAATCTAAATCTTCATGCATCATAAATCATTTATGCCAGTTTTGAGGTGCTGATATCCACATAAACATCATTATTTGAAAAGGTATTTTGAAACTACCAGAGCACAGGAATTAAAAACTACAGTACCTTTAGCTCCAGATCCTGATAAATGTGAGGACGGAGTAAACTGAGGAGATAGGAGGCACGGGAAAAACAAAAGCCTGTGCATTGAGAACATGCATGAAGAACGATATTAGTTTTTTCTAGTTCTTAAGATATTGGCAATTCCCAGTATAAAATAATCCCCACTATGCATCTTCACATTACTAAAACACAGTACCACTAATTTAGAAGACTGTGCTACACAACAGAATTCCCCCAAAACAACAAGAAGATAAAATAACAGAAACACTTATTATTACAATATGCTAATATCAAATGTGTAATAAGGGGCAGGGACACAGTTTGCCTTCAGACCAGCTTTTGTTCTTCTTGGCAATTTTTCTGTCATCCAAATGTAGTCAGCCAGTCAAGGAAAAGAAACATAAACCAGAAACAGTTCACAAAGTTGCACAAACTGTTATTATGGCATTGTCAATAGTCATACATCAAGATGACAGGAAATGTCTTGAAGACATACCACCAGTAATCCTTGAGTTTCATCAGCTCAGCTGAGTGGTGGAAAATTCTCTGGCATTTAAACGTATGTGCATGACTCACATCTATGAAGCTCGTTAAGGTCACATGACAACTGTTGGCACCTGGAGGTGCGAATTCATTAGAAATTACAAGGGTGTTATGTTATGTTAATAGATGTTATGATGACATTGTAAGCAGTGATATGTGGTATCATAGTCTCTCTTGCAGTGATGGTTGCTGCAGCTTTTTTGAACTATTTGTTTTGTCTATCCAAAATGCATACACTGTTGCCCCCAACGGCATGCTTCCTCTTATATACCAATACACCTCTGAGGCTTAGTCATACACCTGTTAGGCCATAAGCTTTAAGGAAGTGTGAGAAATATTTTAAACAGCATACAACAGGTTCAGTTGCCTTGATTAAGTAGTATGGGGAAATGGGGGACACACCTCTTAAGAACAGTGTTCATTTCTGTGCATGAATGTAGCATGCTGAAGACGATGATGCATAAACCTATGCATATATACATGTGGATTAGAAGCACCCCTGGAGAATCTTGCATCAATTTGTCATCTAGGTTTTACAGAATGTATCAGCTATGTCAAATAATTTCTAGTCCTAGCATTACTTTTTTTTTATGATCAGCACTTTATTGCACATTCAATCATTTAAAAAAGACAGCATAGAAGATGGTTATTATAGGTCTGTAAGTCTTTGCAATTTTCAAAAATTGTGTTATTAGTCAAATTAAAGCACTAAGATGTTAGATTTTTAAATGTATTTGAGTTGTCAGTTAATTTATGCATTAATGATTTTGTTTCATTGTAATATGCCATGACAAAGACAGTAAGAAATTCTGTATATATAATTATAAAATGACATTATATTCTTCTATTTAATTGTATTATTATTACCCTATTACCCTCAATGATCTTCTTTAATAAATGTAGCCTTTGGAAATGACGGATGGGGTTTTGTATGTATAGTTTAAATGATTGTGTCATTTGGAAACAGATGTGTTCAGAGTTCTGGGCAGGTGGGGCTGATTGGAGCTGTAGCAGGTGTGACTGAGAGCACTCTTGCAGCTGGTGTGGTTCTAGTAGCTTGACATACAGGTTCATACAGCATGTTTCAGAGACATGCCTTTCCATCAGGACTATAACTAGTCTGACAGTCGTTCACACTTCAGGATGATCTGAAACTGTAAGATAACTTCCTGCTGAGAATGGACAAGTTAACAGGCTGTATTTGAGAAACTGCCTTTGTTAGAACTGTCAGATATTGGGGGAAAAATAAAAATGTGCCTAAACTTTGGCTGTTACTATAGCTCTTCATCCATTCATTAATAAACCCTGGACGGGTGGCTCACCTTCGTGGTACACGTGCTCTAGTTTAGGGACCTTGTGGTACTGAAATATTGTGCAGGCATGTACCTGGAATGATCTCTTCAGACACAGCAGCTCCTCCAAGCACATGTCTGCGTTCTAGGACAGCTGTTTTCAGGCCTCCCTTCTGCAGATAGGCTGACTGGAGAAATTAGATCTGCGTTTCTAAAGAGTGCAGACAAAACTAAAATGTAGCACTAGGTTACAAGTTGCATTTAATGCAACATGTACTTACTGCGATGAGTCCATTGTGTCCTAAGTAAAAAACAAGGAGTTTTAAAGTTAGTCATGTTTCTTTGAAGAAGATTCTATTAATAATTACCTCCTGTTGCAAATCATCAGAAAGACAGGAAGATTAGGTCAAAGTCTGCTGTTTCTTCCGAAGGGTCTTCTGCTCAGTGATCGGACTAATAAACTATATTCATTTTATTTAGGAGATGTTCCGCTTATTTGTATGCAATGCAGTTGCGTCTATACAAAAGAGACACGCGGTGCAACGTTTTCTAAAGTAGCTGCACAGACCTGAGAAACGAGAGAACGGGCCTCCTCCAGGCCACAGCTAAGGCAAATACCGCTACATGCAAGTTCAGAGTCGCAGCCGTGTAAAAGTTCAGCGCTCAACCTACCTCCTCCAATGATAACGGCGTCGTATTGGGATTTGGGCGCACTGCTGTGATAGGTCCTTGACCCTACTCCAACTCTGACCAGCGCTGTCCGAAAGTACGCAAACCGCATCGCTGCAGCCATAATGCTTCTTCTTCACGGGGCGAGACCGCTTTTTCACTAAATAGCCTCTGTTGAAGGACCCTGTGGCGTCAGCTGTGGCGTCATCTCCATAGAGAGGACTTTGATGAACTTCTTTGAGTTATTTACTAAAATCTTAACTTGTGGCTTGTGTTTGTTGATGGGATCGTGAACTCTGAAGAGTACAAAGGCATTTTGGGTGCAAACCTGCAGAAGTGTGTAAAGGAACTGCTCAAACGATAACATCCTGAAACACATTAGCCACATTTGCCAAAAAATGTCTTGGAATGTCTGGTAAAATAAGTGTCACTTGGTTTGACATTTTGTCTCCTAACACAGTGAACTTGATAGATATTGAAGTATGGCATAAACGTCCAGATACTTTCTGGGGTCACTGTAGGGCTACTAAAGAAAGAGAAGACTAGGTTCACATATGAAAGCCTGCAACAATGGCATTAAAGCGACATTCATTTACGTAATGAAACCAAAAGTGATCCTCTATGTGTACAGAAACAAAACACTAAACAGTATCTGTGAAATGCTGTTCAGTATGATCTCCTATACAATGTGTTTGGTTGAAGATTGAGTCATTCCTCCTGTGTCCACTAAGAGGCAGGGCAGGATAAGGAACCAATACAATTTGGCGGTAACCTGAGTTTTAGACTGTATTATTGTCCATCCAGAAGGTGGCATAAAAACACCATATCTTCTATGAACGTCGCACAAGAAAAAAAGAGCTGAGGAGCATTCATGATTTGACACCTAGCATTGTATTTATTTGGAAATGACATTAGGTCGAATTAACAGGCAGCTCTGCACTTTTCTCTTTGCTATGTACACTCACCGAGCACTTTATTAGGAACACCTGTACACCTACAAATTCACGAAATTATGTAATTAGCCAATCGTGAGGCAAAAGTACAGTGCATAAAATCATGGCCAGCAGTTACAGCATGTTCACATCAACCATCAGAAAGCTGAAAAAATGTGATCTCAGAGATTTTGACAGTGGCATGATTGTTGGTGCCAGATCTGCTGACACAACAGTCTGTGGAGTTTACTCAGAATGGTGCAATGAAGAAAAACATTCAGTGAGCAGCAGTTCTGCGGATGGTAACACCTTGTTGATGAGAGAGGTCAACGGAGAATGGCCAGACTGTTTCAAGCTGACAAAAAGGCTACTGTTACTCAAATAACCACTCTGTACAGTTGTGGTGAACAGAAAAGCACCACAGAATGCACAATACATTGAACCATGAGCCAGATGGGCTACAGCAGCAGAAGACCACTTCTGTCAGCCAAGAACAGAAAGCTGAGACTGCGGTCGGCACAGGCTAACCTAAACTGGACAGTTGAAGTCCAGGCTGGTGGAGGTGGTGTAATGGTGTAGAGAATGTTTTCTTGGCACACTTTGAGCCCATTACCAATCAGGCATCGCTTGAATGCCACAGCCTATTTGAGCTTTGTTGCTGATCATGTGCATCCCTTACTTGCTACAATTTACTCATTTTCTAATGGCTACTTCCAGCATGATAATGCATCATGTGACAAGGTAAAAGTCATCTCAAACTGGTTTTATGAACATGAGGTTTCGGTGTTCTTTAGTGGCCTTCTTTGGATCTAAATCCAATAGAATACCTCTGGGATGAGGTACAACGTGAAATTTGCAGCATGGAAGCGCACCTGAAAAATCCACAGGAATTGCATGATGCAATTATGTCAACATGGACCAGAATGTCATTGAAGTGCTTCAAACATCTTGTGGAATCCATGCCATATAGAACTGAGGCTGTTTTGAGAGCAAAGGGAGGCCTTACCCAGTATTAGTATAGTGTTCCTAATAAAGGGCTCGGTAAGTGTATATGGAAATTACATGACTTATCAGTAGGGACCAAAAGAGACCACTAGTGAAAATATTTCTATTTTGCATTCTTTTATTATTCTACTTTGCACAATGTTTTTCATTATAAATTATATTATCAATAGAACAATCTGAGTGAACAGTAGAATTTCAGAATTTCTTTGCATTGCCCCTCTTTTGTTTTTATGACAGTGTGGAGTGGAGCTGGCACAGCGTCTGATCAATACATCAAATCCACCTTTTTTCTGTTCCAGAAGTTCCAATCACAGAGTTGTATCCAGCATTTTTTGGACTTTGTGGGATGCTGCTATTGGTATTTGTACTTGAATTTGTGTAGAAGACTGTGAATGCCATTAACATGCTCATCAGCCAATCACTTAGCGTGGACAGTGGGATCAGCTCACCTCACAACAGTTTCAGCTATTTTCCTTAACTGAACATGAAAATGCTTCTTTACATATAGTGATTTGACTGATATTTTACTAATTCAAGTCTTCATGATCTTATATCTCTGACCTAACCTTAAAACTCTGTATGGACCGTTTTTGTTTTGAGTGATTCTGTAATTAATCACAGAGATGATGATCTTTTTTTTTTTTTGCATTAGAGGCAGGTGAGATACAATCATAATGATTTTCAATAGAGAGGAGTACTTTGAGATGGTCCTCTCTGCCAGTGGAAATCATCTTGACTGAAGGGCCTGCCCTAAGAGTTCATAAGTGGTTCTACATCTGCGTTAAATGAGATAAGAGGTCATACATCACAGTCATGCTGATGGGACAGTAGACAACCTTTAGAGGAACAGTCCAGGAGCGATTTAAAGCAGGGGTTAGTGGTTTGATACATTTTTCTCAAGTAACAGAAAATAATAAAAGTGGCTGGGAATGGAGAGCGGTAAATGAATTAAGCTTGGCTTCAATCTACATCATGTAAAACTGCTGTGAAACAGAATACAATATCCTTTAACTTCTACTTGTTTTGCTTATGCTGTGAAAAACAATTCCAAAATTTTGTATTGATTCAGATGCTCCTGGGGAGAGAAATGAAGTAGACCTCAATTAACCATCTAGGGTTTCCCGACACCTCTATCAGCGTACATAGTAAGGGAATTAGGAACGAGGAAGAGGGATTACTCTACATGCGTCCCAGCCTGGCTTTCCTTGAAGGAACGCATCTGGACAACACACAATCAACATTAATTTGATCAGGTCTGGAAAATTTTGTTCTTGTAAGCAAAAATTAACACTTCATTCCCTTGGTCGGCAGAAATTCAACACCACAGCCTACCACTCCAGCTGTAATAGTGAGGGTAAAACAAAACTCACATTATCTGAAAATGGCCCTGCATGAAATAAGATTACTACAGCTCACTACTGAGCAACTCAATAGTGATCATTTCCACCTGAAAGAGAGATCTTAAATATCAGGGAGCTTTAGTATGATTATAAGGCTACTGGCCATCTGCAATTAGACAATGATCTTACCAACAAAATGTGTTATTACACCTTTATTGTAATATTATTATATTTTAATTAAATCATAATAAATAATAAATAAATGTAGATAGTCAGTGTTATGTATTCAAATTCACTTGCTTGTTAGACAAATGACTATAGCGGGTATGGTGAAAAATGTGTGTTTTCTGTTCAAAACCAAAACCTATTTACCGTTCCTGCCCCTAGCCCTAATCCCAACAGCCTAGTCGAAGTACTATTGCTTTCAGTGAGCATATTATTTTTGCTGTTTTATTTGCTCTTGTATGTTCTTAATCTGTATTACAGTCATCACAACAAATCATAATGCATTCTTTCTTATAAAAATAAAAATAAAAATTCATTTTCACTAATCACAATCTATAGGCCACCAGGGCCCTGTTCTGAGTTCTTACAGGACTTTGCTGACTTTCTATCAAGTTTAACAACACTCTCGAATAAAGCAGTAATTGTCAGAGATTTTAACCCACTTTGACAAACCACAGGATCCAAAAAGTAATGCATTGTATCTATTTTAGACTCCGTTGCAGTCTGTTGCAACCACACTCTTGACTTAATTTTTGACCTTTGGTGTAAATGTAAATTGTTTAGTCATTCTCCCCAAGAGCACAGCAGTCTCAGATCATGATCTAATCTTATGTGAAATTCACTTCAGTTTTCATATATGTTCATCACCATGCTATTGTGTTAAGCACACTGTAACTTCCTCCACAGCTAGTAGCTTTATCAGAAACCTCCCAGATCTATCAGCTTCTATCAGCTGTCTGTGTGAATCCACCAAATTAGAAATGATGACCAAAAGCTTAAAGGATACTTTAGATACTTTAGATAATGTGGCTCTACTAAAAAAAAGAAAAAGCTTGCCCCATGGTACAATAATCATACTCAAGCTTTAATACAGACTGTCAGACAATTAGAGCAAAAATTTGGTGCCTGGCTAAACAAGAAGTATTCCAGTCTGCCTGAAAGGATAGCCTTAGACTACAAAAGGGTACTTACTGCAGCATGCTAATATATCTCTCCTCTCAGATTGAAAATAACAAGAATTATACTAGATTATTATTTAGCACAATTTCTAAATTAACTAAGAAACAAACAGAGACTGAACTCCAGATACCATCAGCCTACAGCAGCAATGATTTCATGAATTTCTTCAGTAATAAAATTAAAACAATCAGGCAATAAATTAAAAATGCACAGTTAACCTCTACAAACCTGCTGCCATACAAAGCCAATCCAGATCTTGAGTATAGTGTAACTACTGCTGAGAGGTTGGAATGATTAGGAATCTGATTAAGAAACCTGAACCTGATCTCTGTGAGCTTTTAAATTATAGACCTATCTCAAATCTTCCCTTTATATCAAAGATTTAGGAAAAAGCTGTGGCACCACAACTAAGTTCTTATTTGCATAGGAATCACATACATGACAAATATTCAGTCTGGATTTAATCCTTATCATAGCACAGAAACAGCATTAGTGAAAATCTCTTATTATTTTCTGACCAAGGAAATGTATCTTTGCTGGTTCTGGTTGATCCTAGTGTGGTATTTCACACGACAGACCACTCTATCCTTTTAGACAGGCTAGAAAATCTTGTAGGAGTAACAGGAATAGTTCTTTCCTGGTTCAGATCTTACCTGACTCAATCATTTGTTAATATAAACAGCGAATCATCTGTTCTTGCAAAAGTAAAGTATGATGTTCCACAAGGCTCTGTTTTAGGACCTCTGTTATTCACATTATATTTGCTACTACTGGGTACCATTTTCAGTAAACACGACATCGATTTCCACTGCGACACCAATGACACAAAATTTTACATATTGACCAAACCAGATGATACACTTCAATTTAATAAGATTAAGGACTGTGTAAATTACATAAAAGACTGGATGTCGAGCAACTTCCTCATACACAGACAAAACAGAAGTTCTTCTTTTGGGTTTAGAAACTGCTAGAAACAAAGTGTCTAATTTAAAGCTTAAACTTAGTAGCTTGTCAGTTGCATCAGGTACATCTGTAAAAGACCTTGGTGTCACAATCTATCCTGATCTGTCCTTTGATGCATATATAAGCAATATTACTAGCATAGCTTTCCTTCATCTTTGCAATATTGTCAAACTGGGAAATGCACTGTCTCTGCAAGATGCAGAAAAGCAAGTTCATGCCTTTATTACCTCGAGGTTGGATTAATATAATTCCCTGCTGTCTGGATATTCCAGCAAAAGCTTTAACAAGCTTCAGTTAATCCACAATATTGCAGCCAGAGTCCTCACAAGAACTAGAAAGTTTGACCATATCAGCCCAGGTTTATTAACCCTGCACTGATTGCCAGTTAAATTTCTCATTGAATATAAAATTCTTTTACTTACATATAAAGCTCTAAAGGGCCTCACCCTTCAGGACCTGAGTGAAGTCGTCTCTTATTATGAACCATCATGCCTACTTAGGTCACAAGATGCTGGCTTACTATTAGTACCAAGAATTAATAAAGGTACATCAGGGGGTACAGCCTTTTCATTCAAAGCCCCCAAGGTTTGGAATAACCTTCCAGTCAGTGTTTGGGACTCAGACACAGTCTCAGTCTTTAAGTCTAGGCTAAAACCTACTTGTTGTCAAGCCTTTGATAATTTGTTTCTCCTGTTAGATAAAAGGATCTGGGGGTTCATGTACATGAAAATGTTGGTGCTGTCATTTTGCTCTATTTTTAATATTTTATACTAAAAGTAAAATGGTATTTTCTGTTCATTTTGCTCTTGGGTTATTGTTTTGCTATCCAGTGTTGGCCAGAGGGGGATGGGTTCCCCTTTTGAGTCTTGGTTCCTCTTTAGGTTTCTTCTTGGTCTTGGGGACCTTTTCCTTGCCACTGTTGCCATTGGCTTGCTCATGGAGGCTCAGACCCAGATTTTTCTGTAAAACTGCTTTGTGACAATGCCTGGTGTAAAAAGTGCTGTATAAATAAACTTTGACTCTAATGTTTTGTAGGCAGCAGGCCATTTATTGCCAAAAGCAGTATAAGAAGGGCACCAGAGCCACCACAGAGCTAAATGAGTATCTCTCTTTCTCTCTTTGAAAACAATAAAACAACAACAACAAAACAAGGTTTTCTAACACAATAACATGACTGGGGTGGGTGTGGGGCTTCCTGAGTAGGATGTTGCTCAGGGCTCCCAAATTGTCACAAACAGCCCTGGCTAATACTCACAGGCCTGAACAATACCCTGGGCAGTATTTCATTTCATTACATAATTGCTGATATTACAAAGTCTTCTCTTATTTTAAACAGCACAAAAGCTGTTTTATGGGCCTAGGCCTGTTGCACTATAACTTGCCCGTGTGCTTCTTTGACAGGCTTCCTTCACTATTGCTATTGATCTTTCATGTACACTACTTGCAATAAAACTCAATTAAACTAATTCCTCTTTTCCTTTAGTTTTCATTTCCGGAGTGTCCCAGTCTGCACATTTGCTTTGCCCGTGTGTGGCGCAGGAGGGTCTCTTGTCTGGCGTTATAAAACAGTCCTTGACGTTTTGATTGACAGCTCGCTTGTCGAATCGGAGAGCCGGAGCGCTGGTGGGCGTGTTCTCTTCCTCCCGCGGCCTGGATGTCCTGTCATCCCTCCCTGCGCGCTTCTCCACGCCATCCGGGACGGGCTGAACGTGTGTGTGGTGTAAACATCTGGGCGGTAGCTAATGAAAGGCCTCGGATGCTGTTAGAAATACCCCAGTAAACGCTCCGCTGACCAGAGGACTGTGTGTCTGGTTGCTAATGGAAGCGGACGGTTTTGTACGGAGGCGGCGGATGAGCGCGGAGACGCCGGGTGGAGAGGCCGCTGTGGCCGGCGCTTCCGCGGGAGCAGAGATCCGGTGGCTCGGCAGCAGGTTCTGGGGTGTTTCGGAGGGTATCGTTGGTACTCTGTCACCGCGGATTGGAGGAGAGGCTGAGGTCACCACAGCGCAGCTCTACGGTCCCCTAGAAGTGTCAGAGATAGCCGAGCCGGACTATGAAGGACTGCCACAGGGCGCTTCAACCAGTACGTACATGTTAGCCGGGGCCGTGGCTGGCATCATGGAGCACTGCCTCATGTACCCCATCGACTGCGTCAAGGTAAGCTAACAAGTTAGCACTGATCATTCAAACCATTTCGCCGTTTCTCACGGCCAGGTTCAGCAGACAGGCCATGTCTTAGCTTAGCTAGCAAGCTGTCTCCAACAGGTAGGCCAGCAGGCTCAAACTGCAGACTGTAAGTTCTTCACTCTGGTTTAGCAAGTTATGAGTTGACAAGCTGACAAGGTCGAATCTGCTCTGTGAGCTAGCTGGCTAGCAAGCTAGCTTTGCTAATCAAAACTGTTCTCGAGTTGGTACTGTGTTTAATATTTTTCTCTTATTACCAGATATTCTTGCTTTTTACTTGAAAATAAAGTTTAGTTTGACCTGGTAATCACCACAACACCCAAACCAAGTTCGGTTCAATTAACCTAAACTACAGCTAAGTTAAAGTTGCAAAGTTGCATCTGATGGACGCGCACCCAGTGCTGTGCTTCTGACTGACTTATTCGTCACCTCTTTTTGGGTTAACTTTATTTGTTGTCTCTGGTGATCAGATTTGCTCACTGTCGCTGATCTAATTAACATTGGACATTAAATTTGGAGAGACGAATTAACTACGCCTCCCCCCGCCGTCCCTCTGTGGTGCTAGCCTTCCCGCTGTTAGCTAGTTAACAACTTTACAGAGAGCTTCATCTGCTCTCGTGTAGGTAGTTATACAGCGTTACTATGGCCTCTTGAAAGTATTATTATTATTATTATTATTATTATTATTGTTACCATAATTGCATGTGCTAGTTTGATGGTCGTGTTAGCAACCCGCTACGCGCCATACGAGCTAACACGCAAGGTCACACGTGAGAGACTTTTCCCAACCCACCAGGCTTTGCTGTAGCTAATCACATGAGCCTGTTCTGCAGGCGGGATCTTCAAGTGTGCTGATGATCACAACGCTGAGTATTCATTCTTTTTGTTCTAGATAGCCAAAGAATCAGTGGTTGAGAGAGAGACTGTGCTTAACTCACATGTAGGCCTACATCACAGACGCTGCGGAAATCACACACTGATGCAATGCAAAACTCATGGCAGTGTCGTCAATAAGTTTAGTTGTGCTTTCCAGTATTATAATTAGTCTGTTTGTGAAATGGTGTTACTGAACACTCAAATTTCGCAAAGTCTTCTACATGCGCAGAAAGACGTATTGTTCTATTCCTGTTGAGATCTGTTACTACCTTTCTATAAGCAGTGGAGGACTGAACTTATTCCTGAAGGGGCAGAAGAGGCCAACTGAGAGGAGCAGTTCAGCTGGTCTTGTCAGAATGACTTAAAGAGTTCCTTCAGGACAAAGCACTTTTTATTTAATGTCATTCCCAGCTGTGGATCTCACATCTTTGACAAGGTGTAGCTTTGAGAGGAGTCCTCATTAGACTTTTTTAATGTAGATTTGTGAGCCAGTACTGGTTACTTATTTAAATAGAATTAAATTTGTTTCTCTCTCAACATCTAAAGACTGGGTAAATGTGGAAAGGGGAAAATATATATATATATATATATATATATATATGCTCAAATGTCAGGCGGCACAAACAAAAACAAATGACTTTATTTGACATGTTTTTACAAAAAAGGGGCCAGGGTATCATATTATAAAGATGTCAGGGTGCAATGCCAAAATTAGGAAAAAATATCATTATTGAGTCATGGTTAGAATGGTTCAGTTTACCATGGCAGGTAATATGAAAATCATGAAAATGTGTAATTATTATAATAATGTTTGTTTTTTTGTTTGTTTGTTTTTTTTTTTGAAGGAAATGTAAGTATAAACTCAGGTTTAAGGACAAAGGTTTGTACGTCTGTGTAGATGCCTGTTTAATTTGAAATTAGTCTGAACAGTCAGGTGGCACAACCAACCCTGAATGTAACTGAAATGGGCAATAAAAGCTCTGATCCCACTAATTCTATCAAATATGTAGATATAAATGCAAATATTAAAATGCAAATCGTGCTCTTTTTAGTAAGGCATTCCTTGGTCTAATAATAAATGTGCATACATCAGTTGCACAAGCACTAACCATGTCAAATTAAGTCTTGATCAGTATGGTGGTGTTTTTCCCTCTCCATATACAAGTTATAAGTGCTTATAGCTTTATAATCTCTGCTACAATTATGTACCTCTTTGAAACTGCATATAAAGAAGTACTGTTCTCTGTTCTCTGTGTGCATCATACATTGAAACTGGGCTGATTAATTCCGGCAAGTGGAGATTCACTCTTTATCAGCCCTGAAGTTATGGTGAGCGACACTGCCTGGTATGTCCATTTTTGGAAGACTTGATCTCTGTGCTCAGCAAATCTTGAATAATCAGCAGTGGTTGGGACACCACAGTTACAGAGAGAGGACAAGACAAACATATGTGGAAGGCGGTTTTGTTTGCAGTCCAATCAGAGGTTATCATTCTGTGCTCTGCGTTCTCCAGGCAGGCACTGTAGCACTCATTTCCTTGTTAGTTTTGCATGTTGTCCTACTGGGAACTGTAGGAATGCACGTATTCATACTGAACAAGTAGAAAGAACTGTTAAGTGGATTCAGAGTATCTCTCACTTATTTCAGAAGGCACGTTGTGTGTTTCAACTTTTCTGAAGATCTTTATGGTATTAAAACTCCTTACCTTCATTAATCTGTTGGGTTCTTTGGTTTGAGATAATGTTTCGCATCTGCAGTCCTGGAAGTCTGACTTTTTTGCACAGTTTTGTAATTTCCCATCTCTTACAAGACTTGACTCATATCATTAGCTAAAAAAAGCTCTTCATTGGCAAGATCAGGGGTGTTTGAACTGGGAGAGCATGAAAATGTGGTCCTGAGTTGAGGAATATTGGTTAGAAGAAAAACTGAGATCTCAGTATGAAAGTGGTATATTTGCAGATACACTTAGCAGATTTCTTTGTTTTATAAAGATTCTGGTAAAATCTGGTAAAAGTCTCTTCCTGTTTTAGCTTTGATTTCCTCGTTTTTCTGTCTTGTGGAACTTCCCTCAGAAACTTAGTCATTACAGTGCATTCTGTTGCATCATGCCTGGGCTTTAGGCCATAAAGAGTGAGGTTGTGTCCTTACAGGCAGTGCATTCCACAGCTAAACTGCGTTGTATGGATACCCTGGCTGACAACACAAGTGCTCTCTGCAGGGCCGACCTGATCTCTGCAGTGATTGTTCAGGATAGATGTCTCTCCACAGTAACCTAGGGCCTGAAAGGTATGCCTTGACCAGAGTCATGATGTAACATAAAGCTATATTGCCAGTAAGACGCTTTGTTTTATGCTACTATTTACTTGTTAGCCAAGTTAAATATTTTGCCTCTACTATTCCCAATAAAAACACTTTGTGAATATTGTAGTTTTAGTATTATTTATGTGAAACACGGTCTCAGCCATATTATGTACCATGCAAAAACCCTAACTTGTTCTAACATGCACAATAATCAACCCCCCCTTAGCACCACCTAGTAATTAGTTGAGCTCATATTGTGTCAGATTTTATCCCTGTTTTAGTATTATTTTAATGATTTTTAGTATTCATAGTTATAGTTTTATTTATAGCACTATATGTGTTGTAGTTGCGTACAGCTTGCTCTGTGTGGGTGTGTGTTGATGGTGTGTGTAATGCTCATGGGAAAAGAAGCTTAGGAAGAGTTTAGGTAATTCCCCTGAGTGCACTCCTGCGAACTTCCTCTACTGGGTCTAGGCTGCATAATGCAAGACCAATTTCAGTTTTTGTGGCGATTTGTATGACCTCAGCTTCTGTAGTCACATCCTGAGGGTGTGGCAATTATGGACATCCAGAGTTTTTGTCTGTGCTTCGGTGGGACATTGTCTCATCTCTGAGTAAAGCTTTCGTCTGGTTTGTCATGATTTATTAGCTTGTTTTGTTTACAAATGTTGGATGTCCCTGTAAATCCAAAGGGATAAGAAAAGTGGCAGCTATGCAAACTTGTCTGCTCTGTAAGCATTACAGATAAACACTTTGTTAGGCAAAAAGCTTAAATCCAATCTTTTAAAATATTAGTTTAAACTAAAAGTTGTCAGTATTTAAAATGTCCCTATAGATATGTGTATCTAGTGTAATTTCACCGAGTGATGCGGTTTGGTTGTAGAAGACTCTTCAATGACTAGTAAACATTTAGGAAGCAACTGCAATGTATCTCAACACTACCACACTGTGGACGAGCAGCACCGCACAACATTGCATATCATTTAGGATGATGCATAGTTGTGTTTAGTTTCTGCAGTAACAGCAAAATGCTGAGTGGTGCAGAGACACTGAACAGGGCTGGAAGTTGCTGAATGTTGGTGGTGGAGGTTTTGATGTGCGCACCTTCATTAAAAACAATGATTTAAAATTTTTGGATGATGTGTGTTATCTGCCCGCCACATCCTGTGTGTAGTAGCTTATGAGTTCATGTCTATAAAGGTTTAAGGTTCATGCATGATTTGTCTGAAGCCTGTGGTCCCATTTAAAAATATGGGCTGTATTATGATGTTTTGTTAATTTCAATGATGAAAAAATTCTTTCATTGATACGTTTTAAAGCTTAGATGCAGATGTTCTCTGTCTTCGCAAGTAATCAAGATTGCGGCACCTCTATGTTTCTTCACTATAAATGCAGGCCAACTCTAGATTACCAATATTGCTACTTATTTTCTTTGTTCTTTTCACATCTTATTTTGATCTTTATATCTGTTGTTGTCTTGCAGACCCGCATGCAGAGCTTGCAGCCTGAGCCAGCTGCTCGCTACCGCAATGTGATGGACGCTCTGTGGCGCATCGTGAGAACCGAGGGTATCTGGAGGCCAATCAGAGGCCTGAATGCTACGGCTCTCGGGGCAGGGCCAGCTCACGCACTCTACTTCGCCTGCTATGAGAAGCTAAAAAAGACCCTCAGCGATGTCATACACCCAGGAGCCAACAGTCATTTGGCGAATGGTACACCTCTCTCCCCTCACCCACCTTGGACCAAAAGGCATAGAGCCCTAGCTTGGTGGTTTGACATGACCAGCATAAACAGCATAGTTTGACATAACCATGCACAAATATGTATTTCAGGAAATCTCCATGCCAATGGCAGCAAAATGGAGCAGCAGCAGGCTTGTGACTGCTCTGGATTCCTGAGTAGTTAATAGCTAGAGGCTGATTTGAGTGTGGATTTGAGTGTGGATTGTTGGCCAGGCTGAATGCCAGCTCTGTGAGCAGCAGCACGGCTAGCGGCTCAGCTGACCTCTTTAGTGTGATTCAATAGAAATAGAATTCTGCTGATGGGGCCAAAGCCTAGAATAACCCAGAGTGCCGCTCTCCTAAATCGTGACACTGTCTGTAAAGCTGAGAAAAAATCCACCATGGTTCCTTTTATTTAAAAGGTTTAGGCTGTCTTTGTTCACAAAAATGAAGACCTGTTATCCATATTTACCATCAAATGCAACACAAACTATTGATTCTTTCTCTTTTTTTGGGGATGTTGTAATTACATTTCTTCACAGTGTTTTCTCACACTAGGGTAAATCCCAATTTTCAATTCCATCCCATTTCAACAAATTCCAAAGAGAAAATCTTTTGATTTTGTTAAAAATACACATACCATTAGTGTCATTACTGCAAAGCGTCACTCTTTTCCTTGTGGTCGTTTCCACGATCTAAAGCATTCACTTTGAGAGAAGCCACTGTTTATCCAATTTCATCATTATGATAAGGCTAATTTCATGAATACATAAATTCAAGTAACCTTCCCCACCACACACGATGCTCCAGGTTTGTTTGTGTCAGACCTGTGGCAAACAGTCCTGTTTAAATTGCTGCATTTGAACAGTTTCACTGACTTTGAAGAGGATCAAGGCTGCATCAGTGTTTGATTGTTTTAAACTTGAACATATTTAAAGGAGTACTCTGTCTGCTGTCTGCTCACAGTTTTTGGACTATAGTGCTTTTGGGGAAACTTACACCAGTTTAGTTTTCTAAATTGTGCTCTTTATGTCTTAACCATAATGATTTAGAATATGGGCCTAGTGGAGTTGGGCTGTATGTCTAAATTGTGTGTGTGTGTGTGTGTGTGTGTGTATGCATATGGTAGTGTATAATAGCATTATATAATTGGCTTCTGTTAAAAACTAACATCGCATTAAGCTCATTATATATATATATATATATATATATATATATATATATATATATATATATATATATATATATATAGATATATATATATATATATAGATATATATATAGATATATATAGATATATAGATATATATACATACAAACATACATATGTGCTCACCCTTAAGTGCCTCTGCTTATTCCTATTGAAAACAACAAGTGGCACATTAAACTCTGGGAGCTGCATAATGTGGTTAACACAGTGGAACTGATGGTTGGTGTTGCTTTGCCTATTCTCTCTTCTCTCTCTTTCTACCTAGGTAAGGCGGAGAGCGGGTAAGTACCCTCTGGAATGCTCTTCAGCTAGTTTTCTTGCAGCGTTGTAGGGGACGTCATTGATCATTTCAAAGAGAGCATTATTTAGTGCTTCTTCCCCCTTCCTTTATTCCCCCCTTATTGCCCTATTTCTTTGGTAAAACCTCTTCTAGATTTGTAGGTTCTGAGTGTATTTTGACTTGGAGAATGTTACTCAAAGTTTACTCTTCATGTGATTTAGAATAAAGCGGTGTCGCTTGCGTCATTTGATAGAGAAAATGAAGCAACTTGCTGGGAAGTCTCTGTTGTGGTCACCCGGTGACTAAATGAGAATGAACGAAAACAAAAGATTCTTTCTGTCCAATGCTCCATTCACATTCCATACAACACACTCAGCAAATCCTTAATCTCTCTCATGATCAGCTGAAGCTGTTGGTGGCTGGCTTTGTCAGTGGTCACCACGGAGTGTATTACTGTAAGGGCCTTGGTCCACGTCCATCTGAGCGAGTCTTAATGTGGTTGTGTGTTGTGTCTTTGCGCTGTTTGCCAGCTATTTCTTGGTACTCACTGTTGAGGATTTATTTTTGCAGGAGCTGCAGGATGTGTGGCCACTCTGCTTCACGACGCTGTAATGAACCCGGCTGAAGGTACACATAACTCACTGCTCTAAATTCTCAAACACTCAGATTAACCATATGATCGACATTTGCAGTACAATTGGTCTGTAGAACATTTGTCTAATTTCAAGGTGAGATTAGTCTGCACTCCACACCAATAGGTGGCAACAAAGAGCTGTCTAAAGTATAGACTCATAAAAGACAGTCCTGTGGGAGAAGATTAACCTTGCTGTAACTAACAGCTGCGCTGCGCTCAGATACTGCTCCCCTTTAAAAAGCCTGGAAGTGACCTGAGGCTGGCAACAGCCTCAATCGTTTGTTGTTAAGATAGTGTTTTGGCATTGCTCCAGTCCAGGCTTACATGTGCAGGTGGCAGTCTGAGGGCCACTGTAGACACCTGCTTGGCTGCCTTGAATCATGTGTGCAGCTTTGGCTCTTCAGTTCCCCGTAGACTGCCTGGACTTTTGTGCTGAAAAGGCGTTTTAGTTTATCCGGTCATGTCCGGATGGAACATGCTACACTGTCCCTAATGAGTCCAAACATTTCTCCTTTGATGGCCTTACTGTATTTCAGCTGTGACCTCTGTTTTGACTGGATGTTTCTATCACTTGCTTAATGACCCTCCCCTCTTTCTCTCTCTCTCTCTCTCTCTCCATATTTCCGTTGTGCTGGCTGTGGCTGACCCTTGGCATGCTTGTGTGTCTGGCCCCCTCCAGTGGTGAAGCAGAGGATGCAGATGTATAACTCGCCCTACCGCGGCGTGTTGGACTGTGTGCGCTGTGTTTGGCAGCGGGAGGGTGCAGGGGCATTCTATCGCAGCTACACCACGCAGCTCACCATGAATGTGCCGTTTCAAGCACTGCATTTCATCACCTACGAATACCTGCAAGAGCTGCTCAACCCCCACAGACACTACAACCCCTCCTCGCACATGGTGTCCGGAGCCCTGGCCGGCGCCATCGCTGCTGCTGCCACCACCCCACTGGACGTTTGCAAGACACTGCTGAACACCCAGGAGTCTCTGGCCCTACACTCAGTCAGCCAGAGCGGAGGACACATCTCAGGCTTGGCCCATGCCTTCAGGACAGTGTACAGGCTGGGCGGCCTGCCAGCTTATTTCAAAGGCGTGCAAGCGCGGGTCATCTACCAGATGCCCTCCACCGCCATCAGCTGGTCCGTCTACGAGTTCTTCAAGTATGTCATCACCAAGCACCAGCATGAGCGGCGGAGGAGCCAGAAGGATGGAGAGAAGTAGCCGCTTGCACGCCAGTCCACTCAGCCTTCTCTCTCTCAGCAGCTGCCCTGGCCTTGCCTCACTCACTCACTCTGTCTGTCTGTCTCTCTCTCTCTCTCTTGCGCTCTCTCTCTCCTACATTCTCCAGCTCACTGCACCACCAACCAGATTCACGCTGCAGAGGGACTGACCGGCTGGACAAAAGATGAAATAATGATACGCACATAGAGAATCCTCTCACTCGTTTGTGTTTACCTCCTATAAGAGCAATTTAATACAACTTAGGGCTCCATGTCTGATTCAGAAAGAAGACACAAGTGATACACTATGCTGCAGTCTGGTCAAGAGCAGTGTAGTCTGGAAGGTGTACTTACTCATCAAGCAACCCAAATGTGATTACTTCTGGTGCCACCAGAGGGCATCAGAAGCCTCTTCTTTAAGTAGAAAGATGCTAATGAGAGGGAGGTCTTTTTAATTCTGGCTGTAGTATAGAACTCCTAAGCTGGGGAATTTAGCCTTCACAGCCTGGCATTTCAAAAGCTACACTAAACCACACAGAAAAGATGTTTTCTTCTATTGCCATATATATTTTTGAGAATTCAGAATAACTGAAGCTGAGGTTTTAACCAAAATTAAAGCATTTTTGAAAGTAAGCTTTGAATGAACGATCAAAGATAGAAAGGATATATGTTAGATATATTTTTGTAGAATTTGTTGGAGATGTTTTCTTTACTTCAGATGAGTTAAGTCACTGTTTTTGATCCAAAGGCTGCTCTGTCAGAGTTTCAGGATCTACTAATAGCTGTCATCAGTACTGAAATCCCCTAGGCACTGTAGAGTTCAAAGATGAGGACAAAAGCAGCTAAAAGAAACCCCTTTCCTTTCTGATCTTCATTACTACAACATCTGCGAGTAAGCCAGGTTCAAACCAATTACAATGTTTTAGCAATCAGATTACTGTTCTAAATATTATTTCTCAAACTTTTCCTCTTTGCACTGTTCACACTGGTGGCCATTCAAGAGATGTAAGTGCAGCTGACGTACCGTTACTGGAGTCAGGATGGTAATGGGAAGAAATATTTAATAGTCTCTCAAATATCAGAGTTGGTTCTTGGCTCAAATATGTCAAAATGGCCCCCCTGTTGCTTGGCTTGACTACACCTGAATTTTGGTAATTTATGGAATCAGTCCTACTGGCATCTATCTACCTTGTACCCATATTTCTCAGCTTTAAATAAAATAGCAGTGCAGTGACCACTGCCTGCATCAGCTGGAGTTGTTCTGGCTTTTTTTTTGTCCTAAAAACCTATTATTGATTTTATATATAACCCCAACACTTTTCAGTAGTTTCTAACTATCTAAAAAACAAATATGTAATTACTGTCCATTTCAGATTGGAGTGCTTAATGGTTTCATTTCCTCTGCAGTGCTTGCTGCTGCTCCTCTCATGTTCCCGGTATGTGTAGCTCAGCTGTGGCAGCGACAGCTCTGAGTTGTTAGAGTTGAAAGGGAGCTCTGTTGGTGGTATGTCCAATGTTTGGTCTAAATCACAGGTGCACGCATGGCCTTTGACCGTATGTGTCCTAACTGGAGGCAAGGGTGTGTGCAGATCGGCGCTTTCGCTTTACCTGCTTCCTCAATCTTGTTGGAGAGTCGCCCACGGAAGGTGAAGGTTAAAGCTAGGAGAGAAAGGAGACGACAGATGAGGAATGGTTGCTCCCTTGAGCCCGAGGCTCAGCCCAGCCGAACGTGAACTTGACTGCCACGTCTGGGGGGCCTGCTGATCTGCCCAGGTGGGAGAAGAAACATGCTGACAGAGGAGATTAAGGACTTTTCTTACACTGAAGCAATATTCTACAAGGTGGTTGTCCTCGTCAGTGATGAAGAAACTTAAGTAATAATAGAGTGCATCTGCATATCAAACATCAACCTTGAGTAGTTTTGGTCCACAGACCATTTATCTGGAGATTTTGCTTCACCTTTTCATTCAGTCGTGTGATTTTCTTAGGTCTGAGAAACAAGCCATAACCTGAGTAGACTGAATGACAAGGTGTTGGTTATCAGACGCTCATTTCCAAACACTTAGATGATTTGAATACTATTTTAACATGGAAATCAGGACAGGGCTTTACCCTTCAGATCCTTTAATGCTACATTAGACACACAAGTCCAGCACAAGCTCTGCAGTGTGTTTTTTGTCTGTCACCTGAGGTTCCTCTAAACAAATAAGATCAGCTCAGGGGCCCTAGGACTGCTCACCCAGAAAGTGTTATGTTTGTTCTTCCTTTCTTTTCACTCTTGTTTTCTGTTGTGAACGAGCACTGCTTAACACTTGCTTTTTAACTGTAAATCACATCTGTATAATATTGTTTGAATATAGTAGCCACTTTTTTTCCCATGAACAATGTAAACATAGAGCAGACAGTGTGGTCATCCAGGACTAAATGTCTAGCAGGCTTTGCAGCTAGTGTCTTTTCAAACTCTCCTTTAGGCACAAGATGATATTTTGCCACCCATCCAACATTCACACACACACACACACACACACACATATGCATGTCAGCCAGACACCTGTTCAAACAGGGAGTGTTAATGAGCAGTCTTTGTGTGTCTGAGTGTGTGACGGTGTGTTTCGCCCCGCCCCGCTGTTCGTTTATCTCCGACCTCCCATCCGTGGCACGGGTGGCCAGCACGAGCTTGCCCACAATGCACGCTGATGAGCTTCCTTACAAGAGGCTGCAGAGGATTATGTAGAGGTGTTTATAGTTCCTGAGCTAGAGTGTCTGGCCTCTCGCAGGGCTTTACGAGGAGCCAGTGAGGGGAAAGTAAGATATTAGTGGAGAATTAGGCGATGTTGTTTTTTCTCCAGAAGTTGTGTCTGGGTTGATGTTTGATCAACTGAGTCACGTAGAGATTTGGTGAAGTTCCGTAAGAGGGATGGAAAGTGTAAGTGTGTGTTTGTATGTGCGTGTTGCTTTAATCACAGAGCTGCTGACAGACGGCCTACTGTTTGCTTTTTCTTCGCACTTTAAGAAAGGGCCCTTATTGTTTAAGAGGATGAGTCTCTCAGTGAGCCTGCTCGTTTGGTTCCCTATCACTGTCTCAGTGAATATAGATATAGATTGTTCTTGATTATGAGAACATTTGACTTATCCAAATATTTGACATTTTAAGATTTGAAGGCTGAAAGTGGATTGTCATCTAGGCTGAATCTGCCAGATAGTGCCCGCCAGCGCCAAATCTACTACTGTAGATAACAACTGACATACCGACCTGAACTGACAGCTGCTTGCTTTGGCCTACAGTCCAAAACACAAACTGTCCAAAACTATGCCCTATTCACTTTGTAGTGTGCTGTTTTGGGAACTAGTGTTTCCTTTTTCTAGTGGTGTGTGAAAACATACAGTCCCAAGTTCCACAATTGTGGTTTTTGGTTTTCTTTAAAAGAGAGTTCCACTGATTTTTCAAAATGAATGCATAATTCAGTTGTTAAAATGTAAATGAAGTAATGCAGAGTGATTTAATGTGGAATGCGCTGTTCTGATTTAGAATGGTTCACAGTGGTGGAGATAGGAACCAGATGACTGAACTCTAAAAGCTGACAAAATCTGACAAGTCTAAGACTGTTTTATGGTAGTGGTGGTCTTAGCCTAATACATCTTCTGCATTAATGGCAGGGTGTTATATGGCAAATAGTCCTCAAAGAAGGTGTTTTTTTTTTGTTTTTTTTTTATGATTTACCAATATTTTATCAACATTACATATTAAACCTGAAGGACGTGTAGGTTCTCTGGTTGTTTTGGATGGTAAATAAAATGGCTATATTTGCATGATAGACATTGTGACCACTGGTTCCTATCACCACCACTGTAACGATATCTGAGTCGGTATAGTTTTCTACAGTGCACCTCAAACTTTTTTCCATTCAATCTCGAGGGTTAAATTACTCAGGAAGTTTGAAAAATTGGTGGAATTCCCCACTCCGATGTGACATTTTACCAATTTTATAAAAGAAGGTAAGCAATCTTTAAGACCGTGAGTGTGCGGATATCTTTGAGGGACAGGCAGCTGCCAACATTCTCACAATGTTAACGTTCTTCCCTGATATTTTTGAAACAGCATGCTAGAATGTCATCAACGAGTTAGACTGTCAGATATACATTTGTTCCAATAATGTTTTGACATCATGCTTTTAGTGTGCATATTTGAGAAATATGCTTGGACACTTAGCAGAAAGCACATGAACATGCACACTAGTACACAAAACTGCAAGTGTGAACTTTAGGACAGACCACACTGAATATCCAGTGCACTCTTACAATCCTCCAGTGCACCACAACAGGTCGTACAGGACATGGTATAACAGACATGAAATTCCCATAATGCCCTGTTTTATACAGTACTGTGCAAAAGTCAGAGACCACCCTTGATTTATTTAATTTCCAGTCAAAATGGCCATTAAGTATATTTTACAGGAGATTCTCCTGAGGAGATTGGATATATGGTAATCCACTTGCATTAGAATGGAGTTCCCAAAACTGGAGTTCAAAAATTATTAAAACATTAAAAGAGAAAAAGACCTAATAGACCACCAAAACTGTCAGCAAGAGATAAACAGTACTTAAAGCCTTCATCTTTCAGAGATGAAATCTCCACTCAAGCTTCACTCTTCTAGATGTAAAAAAAATCAAGGTGTTTCTGTCCATCCTTCCACTGTGAGAAGACGACTGTGTAGCTGTCAATATGCCCCTACTGAAAAAGGAACAAATCAAACAAAGAAGCTGCTGGTGTTCTCAGAACAATGAACTGACCACCCCAGAGTCCAGACCTCAACATCATTGAGTGTGTTTGAGATTTTTTGTGAGAAGCAGAAAAAAAGCAGAAAGGCTGAACTTTCGGGGTGTTGAAAAATGTCTCACAGCAGAGGCACAGTACTCCATATACATCTCAGTATGACTGCTCTTGAGTGATTAACAAATCTAAATAAACATAGTGTATGAAATTGTTTATTCACTCTTTTCGCTATAACAGTCATATATATATATATATATGTATATATATATATATATATATATATTATGTATAAATTCAGTCCATGATTTGATATTCTATTGGTACAAAATGATGACTGTATCCATGTCATTAAACAAAATACTAATTTGAGGCAAATGGTTTTCGGTGTTTGAACAATGCACTTGCATTAGATGCCATAATTAATAGAAGACATCGGCCATCTCCTCAATGTACCTTGCCACATTTTTGCATTGCAGTATATTGTGTCACAATGTACTGTTACAACTCTAGTAGTGAACACAATACCCTACTGACATTTCTGGTGAGTTCTAGAACGGAAGTCTTCGGCTCACTTTTTCGCCGAGAGCTTAGCTCCATTCTTCTGGTCCGAAGGTCTTTAGAGATGGGCTCTCCACTCTGATTCTGTGCTGCTAATGCTTGTGTTTGTTCCTGTGCTGATCTCTGACCTCCTAATGTCCCTAGTTGTGACATGGAGACCACTTGACTGTGAACTTTGAGGTAGGGGGCTATGGTGAGCCACTCTCGCTCTCTTAGTAAATGCACACAGCCTCTGCTAATCTAAACTATTTAGTCTAGTTGGGGAATCCTCTCAGCCCCATTGCTGTAGCAAAGAGCTGGCTGAGCTTGGTGGACTGGAGCCTTTCTAAGCAGCGTAATGCATTATGAGTCTGAACCAGTGCAATCAGAAATTGCAGGCACTCTACAGGAGGCTTCTTGTGCAGAAAGGATAACTGTATCATGGTTAGCAGAATTATGGGAAATGCTGGATATTAAAAAGACTACTGATTTGGATTTGTTATGTTTTGCATTTCTTATATTTAATTGTGTTTGATTTAGTAGCAAAAATGATAATTATTATTTTTTTTAATAACGGCGTCTCGTGAGAGTGTCGAATAATCAGAGGAGCTGGCCGTTGTTTTTGACAGGCAGGCCTGCAGGCTGGAAGGAAGGCCTTGTGTTTACCCAGGACTCTAGTGCGGATCTGCTTTGACACACACGCCTCCGTTTGTTTTCATTCCCAGCAGCTGACACCTCTCCTAGCTTATCTCTTCTCCTAAATACACCTCTCTGTTCTGAAGAACACCTCTCACAAACTCTTTTCTTTCATTTTCTCTGAGATGGATGCCTTAAAGTAATCTATCCCCACAATGCAGAATTTTTTAAATTAGTATTATCCTATTTATATAATAAATAGTTCAAAATCAAAGGGTTTATATCCTACATTTTTCTTGCACTTTATT